ACGTCCTTCTTTGGGGAGAAAGTGCAGAAGTCAAATGGCTCCTGAGGTGGAATATTTTCCAAATGTCAACACAATCTGTGCTACATTACAGCTAAATGTGATAATCTTAACGCCTGGCTTCTTAATGTCAGTGGCACTGAAGTCTGATGGATTGACAAACAGCCAGAATGACACGCAGCCATAGCTGATAAGGGCTCTCTCCAGGGAAATCACAGCTTTTTTAAGATGTTGGCAGCTACAAGCAAGTACCTTTTTATTTAAAAGGATTACAAGCATTGATTGCACTTCCTGTTTTCCTTTTATCATATTTCTGCACCCAAGTGCAGCCCGTGTTGCTAACGGAGCCTTGCAGACAATTATTTTGGGATAACGAAGGCGTGTCGAGCTGGCTGTAATGAGGGTTTTTAATGCCTAATTGCTGTGCTCTTTGAAGGGACTGCAACGGCGGCGTGGCTCCTGGCAGAGGTGAGCAACCCCGACCTGGCATCAGCCGGCACGTGGACTGGGGCCGAGCAGACGGCTCTTGCTTGCTTCCCTGCCAGAAAAGGGAATACAACATTGGCACTTCCATGGCGAAGACGCTGGTAATTGAGCCCAGGGTTTGAATGACACTGACTCTTGGGGCCGGGGGTATCTGGAAAAACAACTGGGCTGCCCGTCACGATGCCCTAATCTAATTGGAGACCCTCAGGTTATGATTTTCAAATCTTACATGGGGGGTGCTCGTCTCTTGTGGAAGGGTTCACCCCCCACAAACTCCCCAGTGGCCTGGGGTCTGCCCGGGAAGGCGCTGAGCTGCGCGGGTGGAGCGGCCCCAGCCCTGGCACGGAGCTGGCACTGGCGCAGAAGCCGGCAGCGCTGGGCTCAGGGCCCGTCTTGCCGTGCGAGGGCTGGGATAGCCTGGGCAGCCCTTAGACCTGCCCCCGACGGCTCCTGGAGAGGCACGAATCCACCCCGGTCTCAACAGCCGTGGCTGCTCCCTGTGCTCAGGGCCGCAGGAAGCTCAGGACCGACACGCGCGTGCAGCAGGCTACAGGTATTTGAGGGCAGGCCCAGCCTGCAGCTCTGCCCACGGCGCCTCGCCACGAGCATCCTGCTTCCAGCCCGCTTGCTCTCGCCACCAGAGACTCAGCGGCCAGGACACATCTGATGGCTTTGCCGCTTGGCTCTGGCGCTGCGCAGGGAGGTGGCAGCTGCCTGGGCCAGCCTAGACGCGTGGCGTCAGCGTCTAAATGCTGCTGGCCATGCAGGTGAGGAGCGAGGGATGCTGGGGACTGCCATGGTCTGAGCACGGAGGACGGCAGAGGCAGCCACGCCAGTCCTGAGCCAGCCCGTCTGGAGGGAGATGCACCAGTAAAGTTTCCCCAGCACGCTTGCAGCATCACGTCAGAGGAGGCAGCACCGGGACACAAAGCAGCTCCCCCGGCAGCAGCGGCAGAGGGGAAAGGGCGCTGTTTTTGCAAGCAGCTCGTTACCAGAGGGCTCGTCCCCGTCTGCCAGGCCTGGCTCGTGTGCAGGTTACAGAGACGCATGTTCCTCTCGGGGCGCGTAGCGATCACCATCCCTCCTTCCACTTCCCCGTAACGATCCCAGCACATCGCATCCATCTCCTGCAAATGCCTCTCCGGGGGGCGCGCAGACATCGCGCCTGCTGGCACCCGGCGCGGCGCGGCGCAACATGCGGGCGCTGGAGGTGAGGCTGCTGCGGCGCGGCGCGGCGCGGCGCGGGGAGGGCGCAGCGGTGCTGTTTGTGGTGCCCAGCCCCAGCGCAGGGCCATGACCACAGAGACAACGCGCTTGCCACTGGGCCTCAGGCACCGACGCAGTCCAGGCAG